AACATTGTTTAATATTTTTAATAATTTTCGAGATAAACTGGCAAGAAGAGCACCAGAAGTAGTTATCGTAAAATTTGATGCCAATTTTTTTAGTGGTTCTATAGGTCAAAAAGTTCCGTGTTTGGCCGTTTGTTCCAATGGGCCTTAGTTTTCAAGTTTTTAAATTTGAAAAAACACAGCTTTCTTAAGTGCACCGGAAAAGTAGTTCCGTTTAATTTGCAAGCGGCTTTGAGTAGCTCAGTGAGTTAGGTGCTTGTATCGTAACTCGAGGCATGCGGGTTTGAATCCTGCAATCAATAACTTTTTTTTTTATGTTTTTGCATTTTATTTAATGTGTATTTAAAATTATATGTTTTATTTAATGTGTATTTAAAATTATATGTAAGAAATATATAATATAAAGTTTTGAATATATCGGAGAGGAACAAGACAAATTACAATCTTATTGCAAATGTTACTGTTACAGAAAGTTTTTTATTCAGTATTTGAGTTATTTGACGTACATTATTGATACATATCATAAAAACACGGAAAACAGTGAAATTTTCTGCAATTGAAACATTGTATAAACGACGCCATGCCACATAAACATTTATTTTTCCAAATGTTTGGTGGAAAACAAATCTGATTTACAGTAGAAAATACAGGTCTTTCCGAAGTCACTTTTGAAGCGCAAATCAAATTTGTTTTCCACCAGACATTCGGAAAAATAAATGTTAATGTGGCATGGCGTTGTTTATACAATGTTCAAATTGCAGAAAATTTCACCGTTTTCCGTGTTTTTATGATATGTATCACTCTCAACAATGTACAGTGCGGAGCACCATATCGTGCGCCGTGAAGAGAAGTAGTTCTCCTCCGGCCGCCTTCTACTGTCACGCGCCAGCGGCCCGAGATTTAATCTATATATCGGCACAGTTACCGATGATACATACTGACGCGGTTACCAATAATACCGACAGACATATGTTATCATATAACTATCGTGAACATTGAAAAGAGTAACTCTGTATTAAAAGTGACTTCAATAATTTATATCAAATATTTA